TCAGGGTATACTTTTTTCACACAATTTAAAAAAAGTGAAGGTCCAACTGTGAATAGGACTTTGAATCTGTCAAGGTCCGATAAAGAGCAATAGGATGGCACATCTTTATTAGGATTAACATAGCAGTCAACATGAGAGTTAAATGCTTTTTCTTGTATTTCGTTGCACGTTACTTTTCGAAAAGGACGCAACAAAGGTACAAGTGCAACTTGTAAGCACCCACGAACACCGTTAATCCATTTCTGGCCTGTTGTTGAAAACAGCTTGAAGTGATCTTGATAAAGCTGGCAAAACCTAACACCATTGTTTATGGCATATGATGTTTGATGCATATTTTGGCAAGGGAATTTTTTCTTTAAAAAAAGGAAAATATGACATTAATGGTGATGCATAAAAATATCAAATACGTGTTTTTTATTTTCATTACCTTAGAAAAATCTTATCATACTATCCCGAAGAACAAGACAATATAAAAACATAGGCTCAAATATTGATAATGAAAAACCAAGACCTCAATTTTCTTTCAGTTTTTCTTCTTTGCAATTAACCTAACTGGCAAACGTATTGCAAAATTTGAAACGAGCAGGAAGCCTTCTAGAAAAATTATAAAATAAATGCATGTCCGGTAGGATTCAAGCCCCAGGGTGGACCAGTTGGTCATATATTGAAAATGGTATACTTTTGAAAATCATTTTTACTCTCAATCAAAATGCTTGAATTGTCATAATAGCCAGTGTAAATTCTGAAATTCATTTGCTCTATGTCCTACATTCTGACACAAGAGTGGCTTCTGTGTTTTTATATTGAAATTCATTATTTCATTTCAAATCCCTTTTTACTTTTTATAGTTAGAAAACTCATGATAATCAGATGAATACCAATGCTTATGGGCCTCTTGTTAAAACCTATTACAGTATTGTTTGATTAAAATGATTTATATCGTAATTGAAAAATGAAATTAAAGATATGTCTTGACTTTCACAGATTTTTTGAATCTGGTTTCATAACAAACATAATGTACATGTAGAATACAGACTATACACTCAACCCATATGACAATTCATTGATATAATAGTAATTAACACATTTTGATGCTGACAACACTCGTTTAGGTTTAAAGATAAATGAGATACGCATCCAGAAGGATAAAGAAACGCATAATACATTCACTAGGCATTTAGAAACCTGTTTCTTCTTCTAAGGTCCAAGACTCAGGTACGTCGTTACTGACTTACCCCTTACCGTTATCACCAACAAGTACTAACTATGATTACATAGAAAAACATTAAACTTTAAAGCATTTTTCTTCGATGAATTTATTATTTTTTCCTAATTATTTCATGACAATTCTATCAATTTTTCATATATTTGTCAGAATTTCAGACGAAAATCGAAACGTTTCATTCCTGATTTCCTGTTGGATTGTCTAATAGAATATTTAACTATTCATCTGGTTATTTTCTCAGTTAATTCAAAACATGGCAGCCTAGGATGTAATGTGAAGATAACAAACAGTTATCGTGGCCGAAGACCAATATCACACTTAACCCATATGACAATTCAAACATTACAAATTGTGCGCAAAGCAGACACGGACAGAGATGGCATCAAGTGCCATGGAGAAGCGAGCATCCCCTGTCGACCGGTCACAACCGCTGTGTGCTCTTTGACATAATCGGGTGCACGGAAAAATCCGAAGACAATTCAGTGTAAAAATAATGGCCTAACAATTCATTAACGGATGCCAATCAACATTCGACCTAACTATAGATTGTAGTTGCAAATAAGATCATTGTATCGACAATAAAATGTGCGAAACATTGATTTTAAACAAAATTCTTGATATTCTTGAATCATCAACTTATTTTTCATCAGCCTGTTTCTTTTTAGAAATTTATCATTCGTAGAACATGCTCTTGCGTATCAAATCAACTGAGAGACATAAATCCTATATGCAGGTGATAATGGTATATTGCTACATAAATGAGCGAAGTTGACCATCGAAAAGTTGAAGTAATCACGTTTTTCATAAAGTTCTGTTGTTATTGTTTTGTTGGATTTTAAGCAAAATTGCATCAAATGAAAACTCTATAGATGTAACGAATTCTAACTTAAGGAAATTAAACATTTTTAATAAGTGTCGGGACTGTCATTAGATTCAGGTTAACCATCCCTGTTTTTATCTATATAAAACTTTGCTTTTCCAAAAGAAAGGTAATTTATAATTAAAATAAAAATGATACTAGCATACAGTGCAGGGTAAAAGAACAGGCTTCATTTAGGGCCTCTTTTGGCCCTTTAAATTTCTTAAAAGTCAAAGCTGTTCAGTTTTAGACATTAAATTTCACTTGGACCCTTGATGACTCCATATCTATTAAAAATGACTTAATTTTCTCGCTAGTTCACGTAATATGACGTCATGAATTGCGTCATTATCCTCAAATCCTGAAAATTATTTTTAAAATGGCCAACAATTAAGCTGTTTTTCAATATTTAATACAGACCCCAACCTCTGATCCAATATATTCAATTATATAATGGAGAACTGTTCAGAAGATTATCATCCATGTTTTATTTTTTGGATCGAGGGGTGGGCTCATATTTTAATTCTTTGCTAAATGTACTCAAATACACCAATTTTTTCAAAATTCAAGAACATCGCAATTTCACAAAGCCTGTTTTTAATATTTGGACTAACAGAGGAAACGTTCGTATAGGAAATGAAAGCACTAAGTCTCTTCTCTATATTGATGTTTGGAATTGGACACTGGGACTTGGTCAGTTATTTAGTTTATGGACAAGGGCATTTTATGGATAAAGTGAACTTAGCTCTTTGACAAAAAAAGTCTAATTCTATAAATGAATAATCGACATTTATCCCATTTAGAATTATCTCTATTATCAGAGTATCAATAAACCTTAAGAGAAGAAGGGGATTTCTTACAGTAGAAAATCCAAAAACTTTATCATCAATTTAAAGAATCGAATCTGGGTCCTAGCCTCCTGGTGTGAAACAGTGTGTTTGTTTAAAAAATAGTGATAAACAAGAGATAAAACAAATTAATATTCGAAAACGAAGCGCATTATTAAACCTGGCCCAATCTTTAATGTTTTGGAGGTCTGTGTTTGCTCTGTACCCAATCTGAGCTGTTCCAGTGGACTTTGAACACGATTAATGTTCGTTATCTTCACATTTCATAGTTAAAGGATTAAAAGACCCTCCTCATACCATCCGGAGACGAATTTAAGATATCAGACTGGAACCCAGTTTGAAGAATTAGCAGAAACATTAACATCTAGACATTGATTATTTTTTAGATTCAGATTTGTTAAATTCAGAGCTAGGGAGGGGCAACAATCAACGTTTCACTTCTGAATACATGTAGTGTTATCTGTAAAATTCATATTTGCAGGATCGGCAGAGTATCAAAGAGTCAAATTTTCAGGCAAGTATCAACAAGAATCAACAAAAAGTGTTGCTTAATGGGTATTCAAATATTATGGTCCAAAAACTTAAAAGTCCTAAAATCAGCGGAAAAGCAATAAGGTATGCAACCTACAGGCAAGCGACAATAAGGGAACAAAGTTTACACAAAAAATATTGGAAAAATTTTCAGTTAATGTCTTATAGTGGACACTGAATGGTCAGATCAATAGGACAGTCCTCATTTATAGTATATACAAGTCATTTAATTCTTAGACCAGGGAGCAATCCCTTGGGGACACAATAAGACAATAAAATACATAGATGTAAATGTTGAAATAATATTCATAAAATTTCTTGAGAACAACACAAACTTAATAAGTGCAATAATTAGGCAAACATCAATTTGTTCAAAGTATGACACATGTATGAGTGGAATTACAATAAGAGGTCACTTTTATAGTATTTTAAGAACATATTTTCGAGGTTTAAAAGATTCATTTATTTAATTGATACAAAAAGAATTGAATTGTGATGCATTAGGTACCAGTTAATTTTTTTCCCTAAAATGCGCGCATTTTTTACTACTTAAAAACAAATATTATGTTCAATTTCTTTTAGATCAGAAAAACAATAATGGGAAAAGAGAATAAAATACTATGCTCGTTTTTTTCTTGACGAATCAGATTAGAAAGGGCAACCAAATGACAAAACTGTTGTTTAATATTACGAGTTTTATCACATTTCATTCTTTCTTAACTCACTAATTCACTAAATTCATTAAAGAACCTGAAAAGAAAACAATTTGTAAATTTTTGTAATGTCAATAACATCTAACTGAACCTAATTATTATCATTTTTTGCGGCCTTTCCAGGACTATCACAGAGCAAATACTGTATGCAGTCGTTTTCGACCGGTGTTGTTTTTACGCAGTATTTTTCCGCAGGGTTGAAGATAACGAATAGTTATCATTAATTCAGTAAGCAAAACTTATCGTGAACAGGGAAAAACACGGACCCCCTCGTGGCATTAACTCTAATTCCAATTGACGAAAGCGACAGGGGCAAAAATAAAACAAGTGAAAATTTCCCTATATATCATAAACACCTAGGTATTACGACTGGAATTTCTAGGAAACTAACTTATATATTAAAGTAAAATGTAAAATAAAAAAAAAATATTTGAAATCCCTCTTTTTTTGAACAGTTAGATTAAATAATAAAAAATATCCATTGTAGTATAAAATTCAGTTGTTATATTACTTCAGCATTAGCATTGTGAGATGTACCATTATTTTACAAGTAAAAGAATACCTCCAGACACTGAGAGTACCAGTCACAATTATCTCCAGAAGGACTGTAACACCAGCTGGGAAGATCATTGATCGGCAGGCTTTGGTCTGGATTACACTCGCAGTCTTTGGAAACAGTTCCTATCATTAATTGAGATCATGATTTTAATATTCTTGCATTGATAGGCTTTCATCCTTTGAAGCTTTTGAATAAGACGGAATAAAACATAAAAAATAAAATATACCTGATTCAACTTTATGTTTCTCCAGCATGCACTGATAATAACAATATGTTGCATGTTTCTCTACACATGAAAACTTTCCTTTGGAAGCTGTTTGCATGTAATTATTTGTTACACATGTACCCCACTGGTGTCTATCATAATGTGGATTTGAAATAAGAACACACTCTGGAGACCCGGGAGGTCCATTTTTCGAATCACACTCCGCTGAAACATACTGCAGTATGAATATCTCAAGGCAAAGTAATTTTAGCAAAAACATTTTTGAAGACTCCATTTTGTCTTTAAGTGGAGGAATGCAGTCGATTTACCTTAGAGATTAAATAATGTTATGCATACAATGATAAAAGTCTAGTGTATAGATAGCTATAGTGATAATGCGGCCAAATCAACAAAACCAGTTTAAACAGCATAATAGGATCATATTATAATAAATAGATCCTTTTATAAAAGCTCATTTCATATTGAAAATATCTTTATGTTTAATACTCAAGTACTTTTGTATAGATTTCAAATATTTTAGAGCGCCTCCAAAGGCAAACTAGCAACTTTATTTAGGTAGCAATATTTCAATATCATCTGCATATGGAATTCATGTTTTTCAGTTGATTCGATATGCAAGAGTATGTTTTATGTACGAACAATTTCTAAAATGAGACAGGCTATTGACTAATAAGTTAATGATACAAGGATAATTAGGATATGAAGAATCTCGTTTAAAGTCAACATTTCGCAAATTTATTTGTCTATACAAATACGCTTTGTTGGTAAGTCGTATGTAGACTGACGTTTTTCATAAAAAATGCTCGGAAAATTTTGTATTTTGTGACTGGTTATATACAAAAATGCTTTGATAAAAATCAGTCTGATTCTGCACACAAGTACTCTGAAGAGTTCAAAAGGATGCTGGAGTTCCTCATAGACGATATTTATGTTGTGCCTGGTGTCCAGGTCTTCCAAAAAACTGTTGGAATATAGGCACCTGATCCTACCTCTGGTGTTTCCAAAGGCCAGGGTTTTTTAACTGTTCGCGATTAACATTTGATAATCGATTAATGGAATTGTTCGTTATCTTCATTTTTTTTTTACATTTGACTTATACCTTTTTAATTTCCTCATCGTAGACATAAACTGGTACTCTAAATTAAATACCCAAGAAGAAAAAATATCAACAATAAAATATCCTAAGCTTGGGCATTTTCTTCGTTCACAGAATAAAGGACAAAGCAGTCTAACCAGACATATTTGCTTATTAATATGAATCAGTCTGTGATATAACTGTCTATTAAACTTGATTTTAGACAATCACATAACTCTATGCTGTTTACTCAACAGAATAAACTTACTAAAATCCCTTTTCTCTCCGTTCATTAAATAAAGTCGGATTTAAAATATGCATGAGAGTAGTGTTACCGTGTAACCGTTCGTCAAACATCTACAAAAAAGCTTGGTTTTGTTGTTCACGTTTAAATATCTTTTTCATGCAGTCATTTTATAAGATCGTAAATACACCATTTAGTAATTTACTAATGCGTTTTATACACCTTAGTAAAATACAATTACAACTTCCTGTTTGAATAAATAAAAAACATAAATAGTTAAGTTAAGAGATATCCGCCATTCATAAAATGCTACATATTTAAAAATCTACGTCTGTTTGAGTTAAAACTCGTTAATTAATATTACAGGACACATTCATATATGCATTTTATCCTAATTAATTTGGGGCATGTAATTGTTTGATTTGCTCTAGTCTAAACTGACCTCGTTCAGATGTGGAATTATCCTTAATAATTAGAGTAAAACTGGAATGTCTGTGCCATAGTGCTCAAAAGCTTGAATTAGCCTCAACAATAAACCCTTGGACAAATCACTCACTGCAATTTGGCAATTACGGAAACCAAAATGTCATGTTCCTTAAATATTACCTGTGATATTCTGTTCATTCCCATACTCAGAAACACAAGAAGACAGTTTTTGCTTATATTTATTTCGGTGTAAATACCCATATAAGTGTTAACGTACTTTACATATTGTAATGTTGCATACCATAGATTTGTACGTCCTTGTATGTTTCATTGATTGAAAAGCACACTCCCTAAGAAATATAACTTGAAAACCGGTTCTAATAGGCGTTTTACTGATTGATGATAAAAGTGGTTTTCATGTGAAATAATAAAATATGAAGAAAACGAACAGTATTCAAGCTCAAAGTCCATTTAAACAATACAAATCGGGAGCAGAGCAAACACGGACCTTTAAAAACATCAGAGGTGGGATCAAGTGCCATGGAAGAGTGAGCATCCAGGGGATGGAAATATTATATTATAATTTCATTTTCACCAAGTACTCCAGTTATTTCATTCATTATTTATAAGCATAAATATTGTTGTTGGTTTTCAATTTGGCCAGATTTTAACATTATTGAATATACCGTCACGATGGCTCAGTCGGTAGAGCGCTCGCTCCATGATCGGAAGGTTCTGTGTTCGACTCACGCCCGCGACTAACTTAAGTCGATAAAATGGGTAGCAATTGTTCCTTATCCAAACTCTCAGCACTTTCAAGTGAAAATTGTGGGTTCTTCGGTGAAACCTTAAAAACCGAGGCCCCGTGTCACGGTAGGCATTGGCACGATAAAGAACCCACCTGCTCAATGGTTCTGGGTGAAGGACCGAGTAAAGGTCTAAATTTGAAGCCCTTCACTGGTTCATGGTGACGTCTCTATATACGAGTGAAAAATTCACGAACGGGGTGTAAAACAACATTAATCAATCAAACATGCAAAGCAGAAGAAACAAGGAGGAATAATTAAAGCTGACTTGTATTCCTCGGAAACAAAACTTAAGAGGTTACAGGGGTCCGCCTTGAAGGAATCAAAACTCGTGTAGAAATAACCCAACAATTGTTTTAAATGCTCTCGACAAAACAAGATAAGTCCGAAAAGCATGTTTTTGATGAAAAATCAAATGGGTATTGTCACGGTGTGAAATGAACAATTTCTGACTTATGTTTTCTTACTTATTTTGAAACATTTCTATTGCAGGACATTTAGATTAAGATTTAGACAATGTACTATCAACAGCAAAAGAAGATCGTATAGAAAACGCTTCGGTAAATTAATAAACGAATCACCGACGCGATTTCTTTTTATGTATAATTTTGAGCTTTTCTTTTCTCAGAAAGCTCTTTTAACAAGCTTTTATGGGACAAAAGTTCTTGGATGAGAAGGTGGAGATAACGAACAGTGGTCGATCTCAGAAAATCTACCACACATACAAATCTGAGAACAGGGCATAAAACAAGGATCCCCGAATTCTTAGAGATGAGATCAGATGCCTAGGAGGAGTGAGCATCTCCTGTTGACCGGTCACAAACTCCGTGAGCCAACTATATTATGATAAGCATAAAAAAGACAATGTTCAAACTCAAGAGTTGTTAACGTGACTTTAATAATAATCAAAATAAATTCCATTAAATATCCAATTGTAAGAATGAATTGCATACAAATTTTACACTACACACACAGATTAAATTAATTTCACAAAATAAATAGTAAACAATTCTTTAAAATTGCTTTCAGAATTTAAACCTGATTTTTCTATCCTCCGTTGTGTTTTGGAGGCCTTTGTGGTATATACATCTGGGTCTTGGTATAAGTCGGTTCTGGACAGTAATCAGTCTCCACTCTTGTCTGTAGCTGTAACCCGGCGCAGCGATATGAGAGACTCTCCATTTTCACATGTCTGGTCTCGAACAGTTGCATCTCTTTAGAAGCCACAAAGAAATTTGTTTCTGTTGTATTTGCACTCATGCATTTATGAAGCCTTAGTTGCCGCAGTCTTCGTTCAGGCCGATGGATTGTTTCGGTCATGCAATCCATGTAACCTAGCTGCTGAAAAATGGGTTTTAAGCTGTCAATGCCTTGCTGAACCAGAATATTGTGTTCGTTTATTAGTTCGTTGATTTTTGTCAATGGCAAATTAAAGTCGCCTCCAATCAAAACCTCGTTTCCAGTGAACCAGGCGAGCAGTTGAGCAAACATCATGTAGGATCTTCCATTTTCGTATAAAACTTGTGATCCTCCAGTGGAAGTTAGTTCCCAGTGCCAGGAGACGCAGATGAACCGTTTCACAATGTTTTGTGCCGGAGCCGGTGAGTAAATGTCCACAAGAGGAGTTAGAACTTTGTCAAAATCACAGTTCGGGATTGAAAACTGTGGCCCAGTTGGTCGCTGATGGACCTTCAGACGTGTGGAATCATATAGAAGAACCGTCTCGTTGTTGGTAGGGTCCAGCAGTTGTTGATAACTGGTATGTGTAAATGTGTCTGGTTCTGGGTTGTCTCCCGGAAGGAACATTATATCAGGCCTCTCATTCTCCACCAGCTGCCGTAAGTTGGATTGTCGGAAGTCATAATACTGCCTTCCCTTCCGACCCGTGGAGTTCATGCTGACTATTCTTAAGCAGTCTGTGTCGAAACCCATAGCTCACAATATTCCTGTAATTATTTCAAATTTTATATTTTATTTCAAAATTATTTTAAAAAATAATAAGAATGCACTGCTGTTCATAAATTCTACATCACATAAATTTATAAATGCTTTTTGCACATAAATAAAAACGAAATGTGTTTTGTTAAAACATTTTTAAATAAAATTATAATAGAAAGAAGAAAAAGATGTTTTGTTGCGAAAGTAAAATGGGTAATCGAATAATTGTATATAATTTTGAGGAAGAAAGAGAAGTGGCATTAATTACTTACCTCTTTTTGGACAAAAGGATATCTGGTTAATGTTAAAGACAGATGTTATTCAAAGTTTTTATAATACTCGTAAATTACGTTGGATGTAAAAATAGATTTTCTAATTAAAAATCTTGGAATGTCCATTTCTATAAATATAGTTGTTTGCATTGGTTGTTTATAACTTAATTTGAATTCCTTCATGGGGAAAAAATGCCTAAACAATTAAACTTAATAACATGTAAAAAAGGTTTTTAACAAATATATAATTGACTGGATATATTTTTTTATATGTAGTTTGCTTGTACAATGTTTATCAACATCTACGTATCACTCTAACTATTAAATGTTTAAACATCATAGTTTCATCGAATAGAACAACGCACAAGCAAATGATTTATTTTCAGAAATCCTTTCTTTTCAAGGAAACTAAATCGAAACTACTTTAGATTAAACTCTGTAAACATTCTACTAGGAAACATTTAAACAGTACTATTCTGTGAGTATTAACCTCCGAATATCTAACTTACGTCATTCTTTCTCAAAAAAAGTATCCTTCTGT